TCCGCTGCGATTGGTTGTGAATGTTAGGATTTGCGATCGTCGTTCTTTTACGATGCTTTTGTGAACACGAAGCACTAAATGAAAGGCGTCATTTTCAGTATGACGGGATAGTTTTATGCATCAAATCGAAAGTATGACGGGATAGTTTTATGCATCAAATCACCAGAAACACAAAAAAGTATGGTACCTTCTTGAGTACGCTCATGCTTTAGTCCCAGTCTGGCAAATATTGGAATATCCTGATATCTGTTTTCCGTGTGCTGTGTTACCGGCGCGCCTGTGTAGTTGATGCACACCGGTCCATTTATCGTGTAGTTCGCCAGGTCGAAGTTGATGTCAAGTGGACGACTAGGAAATGGTTCAGCGCCGCAGTTCACAGGGATGTACATGTCCGCTTTCCTAAAACACGCCAAAGCGCTCGTAAGAGTGATGCCACCAGCTTTCATAGCCCGTTCAACCACATAAAGTCCATATGCTGTCGCAGATCCCAAAACATAGTCGCAGTCCTCAACAGATCGCGCAACGTTGTCCTTTGCAATAAAAGTTGACTCATTGAAAGAAACAAATTTCAGCTTCGGAGCAAGTTCGGATGCCCACCAAGAGCGAAACCAGTCGTATGCACAACCACAGTGAAGCTGCTGAAGATAGTGCCGCGTATCATTCGACCATTGTATCTCCCCGCTTAATCCAGCTTCTAGTGACAAAACACTTAAGCGATGTAGATAACTGAAAGACCCGGCTTCTAGATAATCTAGCGTGGATTTGAGGAAAAGGATCAGTTCCAGATTCGGCATTCCCGCAAAATCATGCTTGTGGACAACCAGACGGTGGCAGTTTTTTAACATAAAGGACACCAAATTAGTGAACTCCAGTCCGGTTAGCTTTTCGGATATGCGACGATCGACGCAGTTTCTTAGGCCTAGAAAATGAATCCGCGCACGAATTATGGCAAATGTTTGGTACGAAACGTAGTCACCGTCGACTAGAGAAACCAGCAAGTTCCGGTACGACAACTTGACCATGTTATATGCCATATCTTGCAGCTCACGGCTCGTTATCTCAGCGGGGCAGTTCATTACCAGCACTCCGTTACGGCCTGGGTGAGAACAGTAGTCTATGGGGTCGATCCCTTTGGCACTATCAGGCCGACATACCCTATGGAACTGACTAAGACATTCGGCAATAGTCATGTTCATTAGGTTCCGAGGTAAAAATGGAATGGCTGCTCCACTGGTCTCCTCCGTGAGCGGGGGCTGCCGACAGCTCATCGGAGCGTTTATAGAAAAATTCGACTGCGTGACGTTGATCATGCTCAAATGAAATGGAAATGGTCCTTTCCGCAGTCAATGGGAATGAATATTTCCATCTGTTTTACGGCAGACAATTGCAGCATCCAAGCTTTACTGCTCCTTCTGGGTTTCTTCGCGATATTGCTTGCTTCCCACCATTGCCGAAACCATCCGAGTTCGCAGCTGCAGTGCAGGTACCTTAAAAAATCTTGCAGCTCCTGGGAAAACACGGGAAAATATTGAATGTTAACGTGCCATGCAATGAGCTGAAGATGATCCAGGTTTGTGAATGTGTCCTTTTCCAAATACACCAGTGTCGTGTTTGCGAAGGTGATTACGCGCAGTTTTCGGGAATGCAACAAATCGTGTTTACGTAACATGATCCGATTGCAATGGATCATGCTGAAGTCATTTAAATTGATGAATCCAAGCGATGGTAGTCGAGATGTAGCGCGAGTCGTAAAACATGTGGTCATGATCAGTGTGGTTACTCGCGTACGGACTAGCCGGAAAGGCACGGAAGTTATTCGTGGTTCAGGAAGCAAGATGGCAACTTCGCGATGTGGATATTTGGCCATAGCCGACGTCATGTTCCATAAAAAATCCGCATCGGCCGCCATAGTGCAAGAAATGGCTAGCGTTCTGCTTGTATTGCAGCGCGCTTGGTCAAAAGGAAATCCACAGTGCTTATTAAATTGGAGGTCACACTCTTCTGCGGTTAGTGGATTTTCGGGAAATGCAGGAAGTGGTTGCTCGTTCGGCTCATGCTTCCCCGAGTCCACCAGGCAGCTGTAGGCCGCGCGCAGTTTCGCTACATCCCGCACACTTAAGCGAATTCGCTGTCCCATGGCCAACTGCGGGCTGCTAATTCTTGGCTCAATCACTGGAACACGGTGCGATCGGGCGAAATCAAAGGCGCCGTAGTGCATGATCGATTCCAGATCGTATTCGATTCCGTATGTCGGTGCCTCTGCCTTGATCCTGAAGTTGACCTCATGTCCCTTGGCTATTTCGCTGTGGTTGATTTCAATGTAGGAATCGCGATCGGGTCTGGAGTGTTCATGGTACATTCCCAGCGCGTGCAGTATTTCGTGCTGCACGATGCCCATCACCACGCAGGAGGCGTGCCCATCATCCCGCAGGAACAGCGGCTGCCCACCAGTAGCAGAACTCATTCCGAGAAATGATGAACAACTGCAAGTGCAAGATGCGATATTACATGCAATTCATCGGAATTAGTGTGGTCTTTACGTGGTAGCACTCACTTTTACGTAGTAGCACTATACTAGGTGGGGTATAGGTAAGGGAAATCATTTACGTGGTAGCACTCACTTTTCGCCATGTTGAAACGATACGAAGTGCTCTTTTACAGATCTCTTGACAAAATTGATGCAGCCAGATGTCGCATCTTCAATCCGCTGCATGGCTTTCTCGATAATAAATCTGCTCGATGAATCTGTCAACAAGCACTTTGTTAGAGTATTCTGGCTACACTGACAAACCGTACCTTCACGTACGTATTAATTGGAAGGGATTTTTCTCGTAAAATGATGCCTTTGTAGGCGCAGCCATTTGTAAAATACTGAATAAAGCTTATTATATTCTGGCGGAAAAAGGAGTGTTAACTGTTAACAGTCGAGAAGATACTGAAGCAAAGCACTGACCAAATGCCGAACTGATTGCGTATGGTACTCTTCCTCCGGGCCAGAATGTGATCGTTTCCCATAGTGCGTCTGCGGATGATGCATCAAAATTCACTGCGTTAGCCGAACTCTGTCCACTACCGTACAGTACGTATTGGGCTATACCATCTAATCAAAGGAATGATTAGCAGTTAACAGTAAATGCAGCGCATTGCCACGGTTTATGCCCAAAACGCGCAAAAGTTCTTCGTTTTTCGGCCACTTCTTTCAAAGGAATTGGACGGCAGCATTTTTACCAATACCATACCGTTAGCAATCGAAGAATCGCCTTGATGACGGAAACGTCTCTCAAAATGGCGTCATCATACATTATGTCGTCCTGCAGTACGTTAACTGTACTTCGCTCGGACAATCGTTTACTCAGCGTCGCTTCGGTGATCTCGCTGTGTGCATCTACAGGAAAAACGTCCATGTGCAGTCTTTTACGGTACAAACCAATTGCCAAGAAAAGACCAAGATAGAGGAAACTGCTACAGTACCTTCCACAAGGAAGTCATCTCCCACCTCCTCGTCGTGGTAATCTCGCTCATCCCAGTGTGCAAGCGAGCGCGGCGCGAGAATGACGCACAACGTTAGCGCTAATTTGTACATTTGGTGGAACCTTCATAAGGCCCACAACTTAAACTGTGAATTGTGATGTTTGCGGTGTTGATGTTAACTCTCATTCAGATTTCGGTGTAGCAGCCATCCAGTACGCAGCCGTGCTCGCGCAGAGCGTACATTCTGCTTACGGTTGATTTCTATCAACTAAAACCAGAAGCACCGTATCAAGCTTTCCCACCAAGCTCATATAATTACCGGGTCGAAGTCTTGTCAGTGACAACAGACGGATTGCAGTTACAAGAACCGTGAGAATATATGATTTGATGTTTATGAGATGTTCTGAGCGTCTTGTACGTAAGAACGAAAGAAAGTTTCAAAAATAAGTCACGGAACAAGCTTCGGTGTACATGTATTCCTCTTAAGAAAAATGGCTTGATTGCATACGATTTAATAAATTTACATACGGTAGTGTACTGTACAGTGAACAGCCAAACATACTACGCCCATCCACGAAACGACTACACGAAACGACTACTGTACTCTTCCGCGCGCCTTCATATACTAATTTGTGTAAACAGTCCGGCAGGAAGCAACGCTATCACGTAAACTGCATTCTTGTTAGTCAGTTAATTAGGCAGATACCAAACAAAATTAGCAGCACGAGTTCCGACTTAATCACGCCGAACAAATAGTGTCCGCAGCTCGTGCAGAAAACCGTAGTTACGAAATACGAACGTATTGCGCGACTGACTTGGCCCAGGAGAAAGTATACTACGGCGAGCAATGGCCTTCGTGTAATTGCTGATGGTCGTCACGCAGCACCTCCATCGCTTCCCGTCCGCATTTTCCGTCAGCTCCGCTTTAGCCGCACCATCAAATGCGGCGGTAAACCGGTATTGCTATCTACAAGTACATAGCGAGAGAATGGCAATGACCTCACAATGCATAAATATTCACCTACTGGCAGACATTGTGCCGGCACTGCCGGGCGCTGCTGGCGTTGTGCGAGGCAGCTGCCGACAAATCTGTGTTCACGTTTAACAGCTCCACCAACAATTCCAATGGGTTCTGCGCGCAGTGTTCGAGGGCGCGCACAAAGTGCAAGACGCTAATGGGCAGTTGGCAGGTCTCCGCCATCACGCTGGCCAACTCCGCGGTGTACCATGCTCCGTGTTGTGTGAAGTGCTGGAGAAAAGCGTGATCGTGCGCACAAGGGACGGGCAGATTGAACAGGCAGTGGGCGCAGGCGCTGGCAGGCTGCAAACACACCATTGTAAATTATGTAAATGTGTAAATGTAAATGACCAACTTTTAATGAGGAAAATTGAAACGCTCAAGGAAATTGAAGTGTGCTCAAAGGTAGTCGCCGCTGCAGGCGGCAGTCCAACACATCCATCTCTCGTTCAGGACTTGCCAGTCATCTCACCTACAGATTTGGCGAATTCTTTGGCAACGCGTTAGACGAATGGTTTTTCTTGTTATTAATGGTAGAAAATTGTTGTCTGATCCTCGGGCAGAGTTCGCCGTACAAAATGTGAAATTTGTGAAACGTGTACGCGAGAAGATCCTGCTAGGAAAGGATGACAGTGTCAGCCTGAGTGCCTCTGTCGTGCTCTCTATTCAGTTGGGAACTTTGTCGACTGGAGTTCCGTATTTTACGTCTGACGGTAGCGAACTGATCCAACCTGCACCAGCGCTGGACAGTATCATGCACGTGTACGGTGTTGACGATAAGGCCGTGTATGCGTGGAACGCCGTGGACGTTCTTGTTGACGGACAACTGCAGCATGGAAGAGTGATCGAGGTTGCGGAGACGGGACTGCTCATCGATTTCGGGTGTGATTCACAGCGCGCGCAGTTGATCGACCACGGAGACATCTTCCACTCCGTCAAACCGGATTACCATGTGGATGCACGTCAGGACCGCCGTGTGGAAGTCCTTCTGCGAGCCACCCCGGACGCCCCGTGGACCTGGTTCGCGGGTACTATGGACCCCGGGAACCATATGAGCTTCTGTGCTGATTCGTACATCGTGGACGTGCGGCTGCCGTACGGCACCTTCACGGAGCTGGTGCCTCGCCAACAAGTGCGGCGACCGCCTTCGAACGCCGAACTAGCCAGCCGCCGTGTGGGGGCTAAGGCATTCGAGATGCGAGAGTGCTCATTGCCACCAGAAAACAGCTTGAGACTGCTCCTGCAGCGAAAGCATCCCGTTTGGTGCGGGACCGTGAACCAAGGCACGCTGCGTCTGCGGTACGTGCAGCGGGCCCGAGAGCGTCCCTTGCAGTCACGTGATCTGGTGGGTTGACCGTTGATTGCGTTGGTCCTTTATTTCTGCCGCTACATATGAAAACGTACTGCTTACGATGACTGAATGAGCGACACACGTGCAAGTCGCCAGGCTTGAATTTATTTTTACTCTAGAACCGATTTTCTGTACGTTTTCTTGTTTTAGCACACTCTTTTTACTCTTTAGCACCTGACAGTTTTTAAATCGGTCGAAAGGTTTCTTTAATTGTTTACGTTCCTAATTAGCGATGAAGCCGTTCTCAATTGTAGCCGTTGAGTTTTGAAAATGTCTTTTCTGGGTTCGATGTTGCCAGGCTAGTAATTTCTATCACGTAAAATCAAACCAAAAAACTGTCGCTTCTGCAGGAAGCCGCCTGCATGGAGGCATGGAAGGAACATCATAAGGAAATGCCACGTCTGCTCATCAGTGCGCTTGCCGAACCACCCGCCAAGAGACAGCGCACGTCTAGCGACAGCTGCGACGCGGAGCTGCAGCTGCCCTGTGAACTGATGGCGGAGATCTTCCAGTCTCTTGACTCCATCCATCGCTTCCGTTGTCGCCGCGTCTCCGCCTTGTGGAACGTTCTCCTCACCACGGAAACCTACTTCCACGATGTGCACGTCTCCGGCCGGCCGGAGGACTACCCGGCCTCCTGGGCCACGCCCGGCTTTTGGGTGCTGAACACCATGTTGCGCTGCGTCGACCGTCGCACGGAGACGCTCATCCTCACGCACATGAACGTCAGGCAGTGTGACTGCGCGACCGCGATGATCCGTAACCAAATGGATGGCCTCAGGACGCTGGTGTTCAATCGGTGTGTCTGGTTGTATCCGAGCTTCGCGGTGGGCCTGATCCTGCGGCGTCGCGGCACGGTTAGGCGCGTGTGCGGCACGGCGGAGCGCGTGGTGTGGTCGCACTGTCGCATTGAGGAGCCGCGACTGACTGCCGTTATTCCGCGGTATTCACACACTTGCCAGCCGAAGCAGCTGAAAATGGCACTGTGGGATCTCTTTGAGAAGCATCTCGTTCTGGAGGAACCAGTTGATCGGAGTGTTTTGGCGGAGTGGATTGCGCAGTGCGTCCAGCATGGTCAATTTGGAAATCTTACTACGGTGAGTCATTTCGTTATAGCTTGTGCCGTAATTTCACATCGACAAGTACAAATTGACGGGTTGCCGCAAACTCCATACTACTTCTCGCCATGCCACACTATTTACGCCGTACAACAGTACAAGTATTTAGCTTGGGTGATGCTGATCGATCAAAATTATTTTAAACTGTCGACATAAATTATAAAAATTAATATTAACTTTTCTTTTCTATGGTTATCTTAAATCTTGAGAGAAGTGAATTTGTCGCTGTGATAGACGTATTATAGTGCAATCGTTCGTAGCGTAACCTTTCGCGTTATATACGTGCTACTTGTACATGTACCTTTACGTTAGAGAGATTTCGGGAGAAGCTTTTATATATTATTGCTTCACAGATATAAAGCATATTAAATAAAATTCGAAAACTACTCTGTAGCTCGATAAACACACGACCGAGTACTGAGCAGGAATAAAGACTGCAATGATCGCAGCAATGACAAGTTGCCAGTCCAGCCACTTCGGTTCAACACGGTGTACAGAAAGAAAATGTGACCTGTAGGGAAGACACGCGAGAGCCGTATTGCACAATTGGTCATGGATGTCATTATTATTATTATTTTGAACCAACAGTAGCCAAACTCCACTGGGAGACTTTTAAGGCTACTGGAAAATGTTTTACGTATTTCGAAAATTTTATTTTTTTTGGTTTGATTCTATGAGATAAAAGGTTTCAAGTCATGTCGACTTGCAGATTCTGTACGCCTATCTGCACACGGATCCGCGCCCCTCCAACCCCTATCGCCAGTGCTGGTGGACGGCGACCAGCGTCGCGGGTCTACAGGTGACCCAACTGACCCCGCTGGCCGCGGCGGCTCTGCGTTGTGCCATGGAGGAAGAGCAATGGTAGCCGTGTTCGCGTCGGGGTTATGCTGATTTCGCGCTGTTATCGGGCCTTGCAGCTAACGGCGAAGGATACCTTCACGGGCTAGGTGTAACTGGAATAGGCCGATGGTACAGATTTAATTTTTTATTGATCGTCATGAGACATGAAAACTTTTTTTAGCTTTGTCAGCTCTAATTCAATTGTTTTATAAGCGTCCCTGTTTCTAAGTCTCTAACATTGAGAAGTTATAGCTGGGGCTTACCCGTATAGTTTTGTTTTAGTTATTCAGCACACAAATGTGTAACTACTACTGATTCTCCACTTAGGTTCGCATCTCTAAGTACAGTATTTGAAATGCGCTTCTTTTGGGGCGAATTAAAACACGTAAGCTGACATTATAAAATTGATACTTGATTTTCGGCCGTGCGATGTGCACTTCAAACGGAGCATCAATCGCTAGTCATTTACCCGTAATAAAAATTCGAATTGGGTAATCACGACTCAATTATTTATATTGATCGAATTTAAGAGATACTACACGTCTTAAATTTAATTAATGCCCTGGAAAATTGTAATGGGAGTATAACTGTACAGTGCGTATACTGTTTTGGCAGCTGTTACTAATACTGTATGAGTATTAAAGGTAAAACGTATTTGCATTTTAACTCACTGACCTTTAATAAGTATCACGTGAAAGTACAAACTAAGTACTAGAAAACAGAAGTTTGATGATGTATACGAGACAGCGGCAACTATTTGCATGCTGACCAGCATAAACGTATTCATTCGCCAAACTGTAGCGATGCAGTTCGAGTCGACCTTTCGTTTTGCTGATGTTGCCGTTATTCATGTACGCAGTCGTGTAATACACCAGGATGCGAGTTTGACATTGTTCGGTTGACCGAGTGGCACAGTTACGGTTGGAGCTGACAAGGATCTGGTTGAAAGTTCTAAGAGGTTAGATCAAAAGTCACAAGGCAACAGGCAGCAGTACCGTACCTTGGCCAAACACGTACGAAACGTTGCGTTGGCATTCATGCAGTCTATCCACGTGAAGCGCTGAACTGGCGCCGGGACACCTATAGTGGGCAGAGCAGACACCAGTTTTGCAGGTCTTACGTCAACCGGTCAACGTAAATTAAATTTCGGCTTTGGTTTTTAATAAAGGTAGCTAGCTATCCATGGATGTTCCTGACTTAGTCAAGCTGATTATTTTCTTGCTTTCTCTGACAACGGGTACTGGATCAGTCCATACAGGTATACCGACTCACGCACAGCTGCATTCTGCCTCTCAGCTAGATAATCAGTGTAAGAATGTATCTTTATGAAAATGCTGAGCGATTGGTGTATGCCTGGAACACTGTGGATGTGGAGATTGACGGTCAGCTACAGCATGGCCATGCCATCGGCCTGGAAGAGAAGTTGGAGAACGACAACACGCCTCCCCGTCTAATCGTCGATTTCGGACGGCCGGCACAGCAGTCAGTGCTGATTTCTTACGGGAAGATCTGGGACTGTGCCACCGAAAGAATCCTCGACGCGCGCGAATGCGATGTAGTAGTGGAGATGCTGCTGCACGACGGCCCGCAGCGCCCATGGACATGGTATCAAGGAAAAATGGTGATTTCACGATTCCAGAACGTGAATGGTGTGGCGCTTGTGGAGGTGATAATGAACGGGCAGTATCGCCGCGAACTGCTGCCCCTCCGACAGATTCGCTGTCCGCTGGGAAATAGACTGCAGCGAAAGCTCCTCCGTGTGGACGATTTCGTTATTAACACGTGCAGAGTGCCGAACGGTTACTGGACGATGAACCGGTCTGGAGCGGCGCTGCTTCTGCGGCAAGCCGAGAAGCAGCTGCAGGTCAAGATTGTCAAGGTGACCAGTCATGGCATCCACGTTTTACGGAGGCGCCTGCAGTCGATTGGAGAAAAATCTGTAGTAAGTCGTTGGTTATAGTTGACCATTTTGTCCATCGTGACCTTACACGGTCTTTTTCGATAGAGCAAGGTATTCGATAGAGAAAAACAGTGGACATCTTTTCACGGTCAGTTAACAGAGGAAGCCGGTGCGTCATCTGCAGAGCCCAACCGGAAAACAGCAATCAGTGTCGTTAACAACGGTTCAGCAGTATTGCCCGTTGAGCTGCTGATGGAGACCATCCACTCCCTGGACACCGTCGACCGTCTGCGCTGTCGACGCACGTGTCAAGGATGGGAGGACCTTCTTACATCGCCGGAGATGTGCCGTGAGCTGCGGGTATCGCGGCAGAAGCGCAGCTCGTCACTTCCAGTGCAGCTGGATTGTAATTACGCCATGTACGCCTGCATCTTCAAGCACATCACGCTCGCCACCCGCACCATCGGCATGCGCGACCCCAGCTGCAACCTGAAAGCGCCTGATGACTCGCTGGATTTTATTAGGGCGGTCGTGGATGATGCCGGTATGCGCATTCACCGTTTCATCATGCACCAGGGGTCCACCAGGATCCACGCGTCACAGCTGAATGATCGGTTCAATTTGAGTATGCTTTCCGCGGAGATTGCAGCGCCGCTGCACAAGGTGGTATCGTGTTCTGATCGTGTCATTTTTAAAAATTATCGCTTGACACTATTGGACAAGGAAGGCGCCGTTGTGATGGAGTTCCGCATTCCCGCTGCCGTTTTCACCCGGGAGCGAGTCACGAAGGGAAACATCGTCGATCACTTCGAGCAGCATCTGCACTGCGAGCAGACGTCGCTAGACGTGGAGCGCATAAGGCACTGTTTGGCCAATGGGATCGACACCGAAGAGAAGGCCATGCAAGTGAAAAAGGTATTGCCGTGATATTGAAAGGTCGAAGCTGTAAGGCTTTCCATAGAAATTCAGTTCGCAGCATTGCGAACTCGATGCGCGTCTTAAAACAGCGAAAGACGAGGCGCGTTTGCCGGTTGTATCCTGTATCTTGGTGTTGAACGGTGTGTAACGTGCTAAATAAATCTGCAGATTCTACAAGACTACCAAGCCTGCGATCCGCGTCCAACGGCATATTATCCGCGATGCCAATGGAACGCCGAAAATCTGTCCTGCATTGACGTGGAGAAACTGAACCGATTCTGCCTGCGGGCCTTGTCGCACTGCATGCAGGACTGGTGTCCAGCATCCTCATTGGAGGACACTATACACGCCGTGCAATCCAGCAATGACGATTCTCATAAAGTGAAACTGTGAAATTTTGGCGGCCTAATTTAATACTTGAAAGATGCTGTCACCACTGGCAAAGTTAAATTTAAATGGCAGTTTATTAATACGAAATTCACAACAAAACATGATCACCGAGGATATAATAATCTCACTTAGTATTCCTACTTTGTTACTCTGCTCTGTTACTCTGTGTAATCTACCGCCATAAGCACCCCACTTTCTTATTAAAAATGAACATAAATTTTTGTACTGGTTATCGATAAATAACGCTGAGAAACGTAGGTGCTGCACGTTGCCATCTTGTGGCGGTTTACAAGGATTTTATTTTTAACTGGACTACAGTTGAACCTTACGGAGATCGCTCATGTACGTTACGTGCTATGCTGCTTGAAAGGACTTTATGGCCCTCCCAGACAAGCAGGATAAGGAGAGTCGAGTCATACAAGTGACCGTTATTGCTCCAGATCAACAGAGACGCGCCCCAAGAAGCGGTTAAGACGCCCTCCACCCTTCCAGTTCCGGATATCGCACACGTTATGCAGAAGTCCAAGCTGCGTGTGCGACTTATCCTTAGTCCGTATACTTGACTCTGTGGTGCAAGTTCTTCAAGCGGCTGCAGTACAACCGAAGTTAGACTACCTTACACTGAATTTAAAAATTAACGACAGAAAACAAGTGCAGAACGACGGGCGATGTTACTACGTCACCACGTTCTGAGCCAGCCTACAACTGGAAATAGCTTTAACGTAACCGCTGCTAGAGGGCGCATCACCGTTACGCTCGAAGCCTGGAACGAAACGAATGTCGCATGTTGCAATATCATAGAAATAGTGTTGCTTTACTTAGTAAAAGTAAATAGTAAACCTTACTTAGTAAGCCGTTTTTGCCTATTACTAATTAAGTAAAAAGTAAGTAAGCAGCAAAGCGGAAAAGTAAAAGTAAAGTGAAAGTAAGAGAAGCCGAGGCTTAAGAAGTAAATAGTAAGTAAAAGTAAGAGGCGCGAAACGGGAATAGTTTAATTAGTAAATTAGTCTTTTTACTAAGCGTCCGCAACAGATAAAAGTGGCGGGCATCAACAGAATTGTGCTGAACATGCTTTTTTCCATAGCAGTTACGTTTGGCAGTACAGGTTTTCTTCTAAATCTCTAAAATTTCGCTGCACTGCAGACGCTTTCAACCGCTTAGGTGGCGAGTTACGTGACTGCCTGGCATATTAGTTAGCGCCGCTTCACTGCAATACAGTATTTACCATGCCACTGAATGGCGGATACGGTGTACCGTGTAATGCTTTTGCTAATTCTTGCCAAAAAATTAGTACTGTAATTTTACACAGAACCAAATCGCTTCGTTAAGCAAATCTGAGCACAGATTACAATCAGTCGGTGTGCACACTGTCCCAGAGTACAAGCAGTTATTTTTGTTTTAGATATGTAATATGCTTAAGAAAAGAATATCGCAAAATTGAAAACTTTTGTTGCGTACTGCGATTTACAAAACACGAACAGTAAATACTATTTTACTATGGATTACTAAGTAAGTAAAAGTAAGTAAGGTTACGATACAAAAAGTAAAAAGTAAGTAAAAGTAAAGAGTTAAGTTAATGAAAAGTAAATAGTAAAGTAAATAGTAAAGTCAACGGCCACACGAAAAGTAAAAAGTAAGTAAGGTTTTGGGGCAATAGTAAATACAACACTGCATAGAAACTAGTTGGATGCTTCGCGCCTTTGCTGCATCATTAGAAGACTTAATACTTAGTTTTGCAATTTTGCCTTGTACAGCTGCCCAGTATACCGTATACGTACTAGTTAGATAATCTCAACAAAAACGCGTAATTGTTTTTCCAGCAGTTGAGAATCAGGGTCTAGCTGTAACAGGTTTAGCGAAGTCGACAACTCTGGAATGGAAATTGCGGTCTTCGTGGCTTTCGTGATTGTACTGTGTTGTGCGTACACGTTATGGAGTCTCATACTCTACTTGTGCCCAGGATTCTCACAGGATGACTACGAGTACGATGACTACGAACCATCCAGCGAGCCCAGCAGTGAATCTGGCAGCGAATCCAGCAACTACGAGTACTTCTACGGAGACCGCCGACAGCGTACCCGTGGGTGGTGATAAGTGTCAATTTTAAAGATTTGATGATTGTTAGTAGGTAATAGGTTTAGTATGAAGCTGTTAGGTTGGTAAACAAAGCAATGGGATAAATGTTGCTGTTTATCACTTACAGACGCTTAGCCTTTTACTGGTCATTTCTGAGTTAACGAATCGGCGGCGTTGGTTGTTTTGGTATCTTCGCTTGTCAACAGACTTGGTCAAATGGACAACTCTTCCAACCCTTCTGTTCAACCCTGTTAAACAGGATTGCACGAATAAATGCGTTTCATAGTTTTTCTCCAGTCGTGCTGTAAATTAAGAAGTCTGCGTATGACACGGAATTTCTCTCACAGTATCACGTGAATTAATTTGTGTGGCGATGCCGCAGGCCACGGTATTACATTACTTACAGGACGCCTAACGTGCGACCGTATTCGTGTTTTACGTAGCGTATGCGCAGTTGACAGTTCCCCTTTCGGCGCAGTGCGAAATTCCTGTTGTTAGTGACGTGCGAAGCAACGTCTATGGCGGCTGTCATTCCGTTCCGCCGCAAATCTTGCATATTATATATAAATCGCCATCGGGAATAAATCGTCGCCGTTGTCACTTCACGTCGATGAGAATACAGACAGGTGCTTTGGTCAGTACAAACAAAGCCAATCACTGCTCAAGTAATTTCTTCCTCGCAATCGACGGCCTGCTTAATGTTTAGGAGTGCACACTAAAGGGCAGCCAATTTCTGTCAGTACATTCACGAAGGCTTTTTGCTTCACATCCTCTTCTTCCGTGGGACCGTGCGGTAAGTGCAGTTGGCTTGGCTTTCTGCTTGGCCAGTGCTTGACTTCTGCATTTTCTTCTGCAATACGAGAATGTTGAGTATTCAGAAACAGAATTTCAGTATTCAGAATCAGACCAGAGTTTCAGCGTAGTCCAGCTAAGGAAAATTCAAAAATGAATCCCAAGACGGTACTTGTGACTTCAATGTAGCAGATATCCGCCCTCTGACAGCGGCTGCGTTAAAAGCGTTACCAGCGTCGTAAGCAATCCATGTTTATTTCCTCTGCTGTTTGGAATGAGCAGCTTTTCTCTTCTACGTCTTTTGCTAGCGTCACGAAATATCTGTCTCTTTAATTTTTATCATTCCCTGCCCTCATAAACGGCTCACTGTTTGTTTCATCAGTATCTGTCCAAGAATGCATCTGTACAAAGACGCTGAACGATCTCTGTACGCCTGGAACGCTGTTGATGTGGAGATGGACGGGCAGCTGCAGCACGGCCATGTCATCGGTCTAGACGAGAACGACAACACTCCGCCGCGCCTCATCGTCGATTTCGTATGCCCGTATCAGCAGGCGGTGGTGGTTTCCTACGGGAAGATCTGGGACTGCTCCCAGGAAGAATCTCGCAGCATGCGCGACGAAGAGGTAGTGGAGGTGCTGCTGCACGACGGTCAGGACCGTCCGTAGAAATGGTATCACGGGACAGTACGGATTGGATGGTTCGAGTACATGTCTGCCATGGTCTTGGTGGAGGTGATGGATGGGCACGGTCGTCGTGAGCTGGTTCCACGCCGACAGATTCGCGATATAGCCAGTGAAGTCGTCCGGCCAGGACGACTCCTGGCCGCGGACCATTTCGTCGTGCGGACCTGCAGGGTACCTGACGGCTATTGGACCCTGCAATCGTCTGCTGCGGCGATGCTGCTGCGCCGCGTGGAAGACCGCATGCAGCTGGGATTCGTCAAGATCCTGAGTCAGGAGATGCACTGTTTACTGCGGCGCCAAGACTTGCCGTTTCTGCGTGGACTGGTACGTCAGCGTCAGTACGTCTGGTTGCCGTTAAACGTTTGCAGGTCTCTAGAAACAACTCCCCAAAATGACAGTCTTTAGTTCTTACTTCTTATGCAAGGTGTACGTTTACCTTAATCTCCGTGCTTTTCAATCAGCCATGCTATTTGCATTCAACGCTTTAACATTATCAGCTAAAACCTAACCGAAGCGGAAGTGACAAAAATTTTATTCAACAATCTACAGTAAAAACTCTGCACTAGTAGCAATAAGTTAACTTGCGTATTGTTTCAACTGGGAGGAAGGCAAAATAATGACTTTCAATGAGGGTACTGATCTTCATGCCGTAGGCGACTGTGCTGAGAAGCGAGACAGACGATGAACTGCACCGCGGACCCCTAGATAAGAACGAAGAAACGGGTGCCGGGTCGCAGCGAAAAACGCCGTGGTGCGTCGAAGGCGGCAGTTTACTCTTGCCAGTAGAACTACAGAAAAAGATCCTCCTCTCCCTGGACACCGTCGACCGCCAGCGCTGCCGCCGCACCTGTAAACTGTGGGACGATATTCTCACGTCGGCGGAGGCCTGCAGCGAGGTCTGGGTATCGCGACGCAAACCCATCATGCGCGGATTCGGAGCAATGAAAGATCATCGGGAGTACTTGATGTTCGCTGGTCTCTTCAAGCACATAACGCCGGACACCCACACGGTTTGCCTTCGCGATGTCAAAACGGACCACCGTGACAGCTGGAACGTGCATCCAGTCGACGATGCGGTGGACGTGATCCGCAAGGTCTTAGTCGCCGGCGGCATGCGCGCCGCGCGTCTCATTCTGCAGCAGCGATCCGTCCGCTCACGCGCGTGTGAGAGACGGACGTTCGACGTGCTGACCGCCGAGATCGCCGCGCACGTAGCCAGCCTCGCGGCGTGCTGTGGTCGAGTGATCTGGAAGGATTACGGCCTGACGCTGGTGGAAATAACTGGTCAGCCGTCGCTGGAGTTCCACATTCCCCTTGGCGTCTTCAGCACGGGAACGGTTGACAAGTTGCAGATTGTGGACCTGTGGGAGCGGCATCTGCGCTGGGATGGGCCCGCGTTGGATGTGCAGCATCTTGCTCAGTGCCTGGCGAATCGGATTGAACGCAAAGCGAATGCTGAGAAAGTTCAGCAGGTATAATAAATTGTAAAGTATTTCATGGCTTGTGTTTACGCCGAACTGGAACTTCCACCATTTTTTAGTACTGCAGCATTTCAAGATTACTGTTTCACGGGATAAGTGGCATAAAGAACAAACCTGGTAAACTACCGTATTACAAAGCTGATGCCTCGAACTTATTAGACAACCCGCGGCGACAGTTCAGTTACTGCTGCTTATTCGTGACCTACGGGAAGGGGCATTTAAACCACAGGGCGCGTTAAGTTCGGCAAGGGTTCTTTTTGGGATATTCCGGAAGTTAGGTGTGCGAAGCTACCTAAGTAACACGATGTGCAGAACCATTAATGCTGCCATGCGCTGTTTTGATAGTCTAAAAAACCAGTATGCATCCACTGTGATTTCGATGCATTTAAAATACTCGCATCAGAGTCGCATGAACGTCTGCGTGCTGGCGCGTGATTTTTCCTGGTTTATTCGCCTTCAAGTTGTTTCCACGTACAGTAACGTCACATATTCATATTCTGTTGAGTATTTAATATTTAGTTAGAGTTACATGATTAATATTCTGAGTAATTTGGCAGATCCTCTGGAACTATCAAACCGGTGATATTCGGCCGTCGGCGAATTATCGCCATCACCGATGGACGTTGTACAACGTGGCCAGCGTGGACGTGGTCAAGCTGAACCGCTTCTGCTTGTACGCACTGTGGCGCTGTGTACAGAAATGGTTGCCGCCATCCGCGGACGACAACGCACCAGCTGAGTTATCCTCCGATTCCAGCAGCGAAGCCAGCAAGTCCGAGTATAGAGGAAGACGAGGACGCCGCGGAACAATTTTAGAATTTTAAGAATTGCTAATTTGTTTTTGTTTTCCTAACTATCAGACGTACAGTACGATGTATGATAAGTTGTTTACTATTAAACGGGAACCGAACAGAACCGCCAGAACAGAACCCGTAAGCCGGACATTGACCCGCGCGTGTAAAGTTAAATTTCCGCTGTTATTACGACTTCTGTAAACAGTAAAGTGCTTCATGATTGTACAAGTTTTCGCTGCCGTTTTGCGCGAGTTTAGCCTTCCGCAGTGCATCGGGGAAACGGGTTTTATTGGAACCGGCACATTTTGCACTCACGTTTGGACCATATTGGATTCGCTGCTTGGAAACCGAAATTTTCTAGCAAAATCGAATTCTCGAAATTCTTAAATACTAAGTAGATACTTGATGCGGTGATGCAGTACGAGTGCGGGTATTTCAACCTTCAGGACCTAATACACAGCCAGAAACGTGCGCACATACAGCAACGCCCTCAACTGGTTTTCTGTTCTTCGGCGCGCTTAATTCACCAAGTTTGCATGGTTTGTTGGGGACATCTGCGAGAACTCGTGGCATTTAAGCACTGAGAAATGCATTGAGCCAGTGTGTAGGCACGGAAAGAGCAGTAACTGACGCATACCCTTCCACAATTTAAGTAGCGTATCGGCCGCCGCTTATTCTGTCGGCATCGAGCACCTCTGTTCGGAGCTCGGTACACCGGCCTTGCTGTGTTGCCTGCAGCACAAGCTGCAAACTCCAGTATGACACACTCCACTCCAGATATCGCCCTTACGTCCCGCTCTGTCAGCTGATGCCTGGTTTTGAAGAATTTCCAGCCCTGCTGCATATACCGTAGACATATACCGGGGAGTTCCGCGCATAATGCAATTATCAGATGACACTTTGCTGCTTAAGCACTCTGCACGAAACGAAATCGTCCAAGTCCCTCAGAACTAACTACCTTAGCCTATTGTGGCTGTCCAGTCGGTGTACTAGCACGTTTCCCGGCTTGATCTCTCCGTATTGCGATTGTTTGTTCCAGCGGAGGCTAGTACGCTCCGTTCGCTAGTTCGGTGGCATAGTGAATGGCTGTATGCAGATCGGCAATTTTTCCTGGCTTTTAACAGATTTGCCAAACCTCCATCTCGAAAGCGAAGCCATGAAAATTCGAGTAAACAAGAATCCACAACCGGGTACGGTATTCTTGATCATGAAAAGTGAACTGAAGATGAACGCATTAGGGACACTCGTGTGCACAGAATTACCAGTCATCCCGCTCCATTGCCACAATGCAGCCGCGGTAGGCCGAATTGCTGACCCCTGAGCCCTTTACGGATTCGAAGCCCATACGCAAGCACGTAATCCTGTAAGTCGCCTTGATCGGTTGCGTAGCCATAACGCTCTCCGTACTGCGCCTAATCAATCTGCTAGAATACTGGGTATTGAAGTGCGGTGCGGTAGCCGTAAAAAAATAGCAATCTCCAATATTCAATGAAACGGCGATTGCTCCTGTTCATGCACACGACCATCCGCACTCTAGGCACAGGTACGCCTTTACCGGCCCCGACGATGCTGTCGTTGGAGGGCAGTGCAGATCGAAAAAATACGGTTAGTTAACCAAACTGCACCAGTGCGGGAGTTTGGGAAGAGTTCACTGTGCTGTGACTGGGCGTGATTTCAAGAGCGGTGGGTGAAAAATATAGCGCTGTTACAGAAAGCAGATGCTCTCGGCGCCGGCGTTTATACCGTTTACGGAAGTTCAACTAGTTGGCACGATCGTTCCATTTAAGATGTCTACTTTAGCCGTTTGTAACTTACGGTTGGAATTTCTTGGTTGTACACGGGATGTAACATTAATTTAGTAACCGAGATTATTCCGATACTGCACCAAAAAACTTGCTGGTGTAATTTGTGAATGCTGTTATAAACTGCATTACAGTACATACTTTGGTGGAATCAAAAAGCGTCAAACAGAATTATGGTGTCGACTTAAGCGTAATCGATGCACATCGCTGCCCGTTTCTTTGTCATCGCAAAGGCCATGCAGTCGGAAAATTAGCGTAGAAATTTTGATATTTTGATGGCCAACGCAATACTTCAACTGGTTAGTACAGTGCACAGATAGGATTTCAATAACGAAATGCGCGCATTAAACTTAGATAACTTAAAATAAGACACCGTTCAACAGATCCAAAAGCTCTCCATATATCGTCTGTGCTACTCTCTTTTCCCTTAGAGACTTACACAAAAGCTGAATGAAGTTACAGATATGAGCAACATAAAGCGGCTTTTTGTTTTATGCATTTAGCAATGAGTTAATTGAATTAAAAACGAAACGATAAGAAGAAGGACACTGTCATGGTTGTGTTAGGGTCTGCGTGGAAGTCCGAGCGCTTAACTCCACACTTTCAGTTTGCCCACTACTGTTGTTAGCGAATACTGTGGGCAGCCAGGGACGGAGTAACGGACGAGCCACTAGCTCAATGAAACGACGTCGATATTGACGCTCGGTCAGCAAATAAACGTAGAAATTTAACGAATAACCCATGTATGTCACCACACCGATGATGGGCTGCGCCAGACCATACACGCTTATATCTTCGACATAGGATATTCCCTTGCCCTGGTAATGCGGTGCCACCATTGCCACCATGTCGAAGAACTTTGGGGTCCGCGTGATCAGATAGAGCATTGCACTGCTCAGCAGAATGATATTGATCCCGTGCTGAGATACTGATTTGTTGCCAGAGGCCGTAGCAGCTGCAGCTTTCTGCAAGTGGCGCATCTGGCCAAATTTGGACCGGTGGTGGTATGCCAGAAAGACAATCAGGGCTATAGTGGAAATAAGGATTAATGAGAAAGTCAGGATGCGCACCGCAACCTGCAAACAATTGACACATTAAAGTATGTGCTTTAACATTAAAACATATCGTTCATGTCGAGATGTGATCATGCGGTTGGCAGTACTGGGCCGAGTCGTCATGCAACGGCAGCAAAGCATAAATTTTTTGCTCTCAGATGTCTTATGCTAGGCGGCGTCGGCGCTATAAAAAGCACGTTAATAGAAAAATGGGAAAATTTAAACAAAAAAGCAGTCGAAGGTATGAAAATTATGAATAACAAGTCAAATGTTTTTGACGTCCGGTGAGTCCTAAGTCCGTCAAATTTCTTTGGCTTTTCGCTTCGACTCCGCTCGCAAATTGGTCACTTCCACTTTATCTGAGTGATCACTCGACATACGGATCAGATCAACAGATGCGGAACGCGGCACAGGGGCGGTTGATGTTCTTTTAATTGAACACCCCAGTAAAAAGTGCGGATTAGCCAACGGACCACCAGTGGCCCCATGTGGCGCACTACACATCAGCTGATGTACTGTAATCTCGTGTATTGGGTGATCGATGTGCCGAACCGTAAAGTGCAAGTGACCAATTTGAAATTTGCCAAGGTAATCGAGGTATGCGTTTTTCAAGTTTGCTTTTAGTCCTGCTCTTGTCGCCACGGGGCCACCAAAACCTCACTGTCCGAGTCTCAAAAAGCAAACCAGACCTCCAAAACCCAAAAAGCTGTTGCAAGACATCTTTACAGGCGGTTATCACCGTTGCAAATCGACTACCGTCGAAAGGAAAGCTCTGCTTGATTGCATACGAGGAGCTGTCTACCATGCCACTGCTTTTGAAAAACTTGGAGCATTCGCCTTCCACGCCTTGTAATTCTGTTACCATTCGCTGTGATGAAGCTGGCACAGAAATACGGTATGTACACTCTGTATGCAAAGTTGGTCTAGTGCCCTGTTCGAAATTAAGCAAAGATTTCATGATAACGCTCTTGGCGACGATGCAACCGCGCCATCATAATCCAAACGGTGAAGTCGGTATTCATGCAACGGTGACTCCAACGGTAAAGGTTATTTGAAACGGCTTATGAGAAGGCTAACTGGGTCGGCCAGGTTTTCGTGGCGATAAAAGTAAGGCCTCTAAGGATAAACTTGAAAACGCAAAGGCTTGTGAAAGGGCAAAGTAAACTTAGCCGACAAAATTCCGAAGAACGTTTTCGTCGCCCTTTGTCAGTTTGCCTTGATAGCGCTCACTGCGGGCCACAACCCGGGCCTCAAACCACCCAAAAGGGCCGGACCGGCTCCACACCATTGATTAGATGGAAATGCTGTTACTATAGCATTCTTGCAGCTTCTAGCTTAGTATTTATTCAGTCCAAGTACATACCAAGCTTATTTCAGTAACGACGGTCCAAGTGTAGTCCACATGCTGCCAATAAAATTTGGCAGTTAGGTGCGTGGCGTCATCAGTCAAGTTTAAGCAGCAGATTGGTGAAAGATCATGCGTGTACATCCCCAGTGATAAAACGGCCAAAACGACGATTACAATGCGCGCCACTGAAACCAGCTGCAGAAATCTGAACCGAAAAGGACTCACAATAACGAGCAGCCTTTCCCACGAGAAAACAATTAAGATCCTAAATAGAAAAACAATGTTTGTTAGTAGTACGTACTCATAGATCTGTAGTTCAAAAGAACCTACCAATCGGACAAATTCATCGAGGCATTCGTAAACCACCTCAAAAAGATATCCGCTCCTATCGTCATTCCTGCCTTAAAGTCCAGCGAATGGTCCGACCAAAACGAAATCGAGCCGCACCATCTAGCAAAACAAAATTGCACAAAATGCGACAATTTACGTGGCAGTTGGTGGCGAAGTAGCTGGTGGAAATTTTCGTAACGATTACAGAGCTTGCTTAGGCTATAAATCTCTGCATTTATAAACTGAACCAAGAACTAAGATACGTTTAGTACGCAAAGTTTAAACGATCGTAACAGAGCATCTCATCTCGAATTGTTTATTCAGCGCTTTAAGAGAGATTGTAGTTGTCTGGGCTGGAAAAGGATATAAAGTCATCAACAGATTGGTTGCAGTTTAACATCAGAATCGAGAAAACACTGGATAACAGGTTTGAAGGACGGTCTGAGCGTCTTGTACGTGATATACGTGAAGAAAAATCAGAAACACAACGACGGAGAAAAACAAAAGCCTGATTAGAAAATCTGGCCTGCTTCCAAATACATCTGCAGGCTTTCTAGAATAAGGTAAACTGGTTTCAAAAAATAAGGTCAGCAAAGTTTCAAAAGTTTGTTAAAATCCGATGCTCATCTGTAGTGAACACATTTGCGAATGATGTAACGGTCATAACCCACTTTGCACCTCCCTCGGGACGCTGCTGTCTGATGAGAGCTTTCACTTCACGTAGCGGTTGGATTACGAATTTTCCTCTGCAAAGAGTGCCGGGCGGTTTACTCCAAATTCGTCTTTGAATGAAACGCTTTCCTCGCCATTCATTCTTAAATGAAATGATTCGGAGCTGCCTGGCTACCGCTAATACTCCCACTGTACTGGCGCCACATGGGATCAACAACGAAGATAATCGACGCCGGATCGTGTGTCACAACGGCACTGGAGAGACGGACGACGACCGGCTTTGGGATGTCACATGCTTGGACCAGTTGCCTTATCAAATGTCATCAGCAACAATACCAAGGCATGAGAAGTAGCCACGAGAGCGGGAGAAGAAAGCCGCCAGAAGTACGAATACCTTGCCAATGAATACGATTTTATTCATTTAGCTTTTGAGACTTTTGGTGTCAGTGGCCCAGCATGTTGAAAGTTTTTACGCGAATTGGGCAAGCGGTTAAAGGATGCTATTGGAGAACGACGCTCTTACGAGTTTTTAAAGGAGCGTCTTAGCATCGAAATACAGCGGGAAATGTCCGCTGTCCATAACGTCGACCATCCGCTTTCTGACGCGGAAGGTCTTGATGCTGCTTACCTTTTTGCAGTGTTTACGAATGTGATGCTAACAACTCTGGTTGCTAAATAGACCAATAAAAGAAGACGATAGCTGGTCAGACAAACAGTCACAACATGGGAAAGTGGTCAGGCAGCAATACATTCGTTTCCACTTGATATGATTAAAGTATCTCAAATTTGTTAGCTGCATTTGGTTTGAGGCGTGACTGTATAAATTTAAAAATGCCCACGCAGTGTTCAATAAATTTTTTACTTGTCTGCAAACTTACAATGCCAGCAAATCAGCCGCGGCTGTGCCGATCATGTAATGACACGCTGATGTCTTCCACGTAGATAAACTGCGGATTAAGACCACCAGATTCAGCCCATTGCCCACGGTGCACAGGATCAACAGGCAAAAGTACACAGCCCGACAAGCCAAATACACTTCGCGAATTTTGCTGTCAGTGTAGAGCGGCGGCGGGGTTGTGCGATAGAAGGAACGATAATTCTCTGCATCCGGTGTGTCTGTCCAGCTGGCCTTAGTATAGTTTGCGCTTGCTTCCGGAGGCCAGCGCGAAATATTTTTGATTATATTGGTTAAGGACGAAGAACTGGCGGCATTAAGACTGTCCATGGCAAAAATGGAGGCCGACTACTTTCGGTCCGCTACCCTGCAACAATTATGAAGAAATTAGATAAAAGTAATAATTTTTGGCTCTACTAGGAACAGGAGGAGGCACGCATCGAAGTCAATAGCGTTTCGTTTTCCTGAGTAAACTGACTACAGTACGACTGACTAAACGTTCCCTAGAGCAGCCATCCACTTTTGCCGGTTAAGTGAAAATAATAGTACATATTAAGTGTTACTTAGTTGTCTCCATAAACTCACTAAGTTAAATCAGGGTGCGGCACGCTATCGACCTCACCAAAGCGCCTCCTCATCTGCACTTAAATATGCAGCTGGTTTATTATTGAGGACAAAAATGGTTAATCTGATACTACAGTATAAAATCGGCCAAATCTAGTACTGTTTTACGGTGGATAGGGAATACGGTCTCGTATGATTTCACACAATTTTACCTTCAAGCTGATCAAAGCTGTTTCAACCCTTTGGCTGAATAGCTTATTTTTCTTTGCTTAATACTAAGTAACTGCATTTTCTCGTCTCCGCTGCATGTAAACATGTGGTGTTGCCTGCATAGCTGCCACTTATAACGATGATTTATATCCGCTCGTTAAAAATAATATTAACCAGGGGTACAGCTCCCGCATTTTGCCAGTGATCATCTCTTATTAAACGAAGAGCAGACAACGAAATTAGTAGCATATTACGTTCCTCGGAAAATTCTGCATCGCCGAAGGCTTGCTTGGTTTATGGTTACAAGAAACTGTTGATTTCCATTGTTTACAGCACAGCAGACGGCTGTTTCTGTGTGCGTGTGCCTTACACAGCAAAATTCCAAAACGAACGAATAACAAGTCTGGGTTCTTTTCCACGACAATGCGTTCCCCCTTCTTTACATCCCGATTCAGTTTGCAAAGAAATAGTTGGCTTTTGCTGGAATAAAGTTTTATTAGCAATATGTGCGTAACCGGTTTGGCCGCGTACGGCATAAACCGTTTTCACGACAGCTAATACAAAAAACCGGAGTACGCGGTGCCATTAATGGGCGCTGTGCCGAATCAACGTCTGTGCAGCAGCTTCGAATTTAACTTTCAAAAAGAGAAAGTTTGCTAAATATGAATTGTAAAGCTGTGGAGGTGAGCAGATTTTGTAGGCTTCAGTTTGCTGGTGGGGGGTAAATTGTCACAGGACCGTGCATTCACAGCGTTGTGAGTAACAATGTTTTGCTTTCTTTTGCCCTAACAATGACCGTTGTTTGAGTGACATTGCAGATTTCTTAGGAAAATATGTAAAGTTATGCGATAATTTGTTTTCGGTCTTATGGGGCACTGAAATCGTAATTTCGGAATCCTGTTGTAGTAATCATATTGTGCAGTGTCACAGGGCAAAAATTCATCTAAGCTCATTAATAACCACAGGAGAGCGCCCGTTTATGGACCGTACCCAGCCAGTGACGACAATCAGCACGTGACAATCAGTGCCGACAATCAATATAACGGTGATTGATCTTCTCCAACTTGAATTTTTATACTGGCAGCAGCGCTGCAGTGTGCGTTTATCACCGGTAGAAAGGTGAACCGGGTTGTTGATTGACGGACAGAAGTGCCGCATTAATCTTTCTGCCGGAACCCGTCAGAAATTAGGTTGATACAGTGACTGTATTTATATAGTCTGACCGTCGACTAAGTATCTACCCATTTACCTTTCTGATGGTGACACAAACTGTGGAGGCAGAGCCATTACTTAAGAAACAAAACAAACAAAGCTACCAAGAGGAGGGTCTGTCAGATCGGCGGAATTCATGGACAACGAAAAGCGCAGTAAACCCGACATGTATGCAAGTATGTAGACATCTCCCGGTTGGCTGCATACTTGACCCATTTTTTAAATCCAAGAGATTTGCTTTTCCAGATTTCAACCAAGAAAGCTTCTCGGTTATCAAAGATCTGTATAAATATCAAGAACACGAAATCCATATGCAAAAGCTGCATAACTGCTAGCACTTGTACCTCTGCTAATGCTTCGTCTACAATATTTTTGTTTTAATGTTTTAGATGTGTGAAGGCTGCATAATACCTAAAATTTTGCCACACAGCTAGATGATCATTTGGCTTTTGGCGGATCCTGATAAAAGGCTGCGCGCACATCAACAGCAGTTCCGTTTGACTATGATTTCTCCATCGAACGAAAGAGAGCTGAAGAGCTCGAGCTATGGAGTGTGGGCAGATGAACTTTACACAATTTTGCACCAATACGCAAGCAAATAATCCTATACGCTGTGCAGACAGGTTGCACCGGTCCTCGTTTAATTAACATGCTTATCGTATGTCATCAGTCTGCGGAATATCAGATGGCCTAGAGTGCGGCATATCAATGTAAGACATTGTATGTTGTCGTATGGGAAGTGGTGGACCAACAGAATGGCGCTGCTATAGGAAGCGGATGTTTTCGGCTCCATTTATAACGATTACATGAGTAGTTGGCAAGATTGTTTTCTGTGTGTGCAGTTGAAAAATTATCGAGAGATATTTGATATTTTGATGGCCAACGCAATTGAGACATAGGCACTTCCATCAACAAGTAGGTACGTACAGATACGACTTCAGTTACGAAATACGCACAATAAACCAGACAACAAGATCTGAGATTCGACAATTCCAGCTGTTCTTAATTCTTAATACTTATTTCCTAATACTTACTTATTTCTTAATACTGGTATATGTAATTCCCACTTTTTTTCACTTCCACAGACCTGCACAAAAGCTGAACGAAATTACAGAAATATGGAGAGGTTTTCTGCTGCGTGCATTTAACAACGATCCAGTTGAAGCGAAACTTGGAACTGTTAGAAACGACTATGTTGTGGCTGTAATGATTGCGTTGAAGTCCTAGCGCACAGGAGACGTTCAGGACACTCCCGGAATTTGCTGTATTTTACGATTAGCACCTCTTAGTTGTGGATGCACTCTATGTACAGAGGATGCATTTGGTGACCGAGATTACGCCGATAAGCGCGCCAAGAAAGTCTGTGAGTGGAACATTTGAATGGCAAGTACAGAAGGTCACTATAAATATCGAAGTACGCGCAGTAAACCGGACAATTTAAAATGAGACACCGTGCTGCTGCTGCTCTCTTTTTTAGTTAAAAACTAATACCAAAGCTGAACAAAATTCTACAGATATAAAGAAGTTTTCTGCTTTATGCATTTACCAGTGATCCGGTTGAACTGAAAACGATAAGAAGAACGAAACTGTCATGGCTGACATTGGCTGTCATGGCAGAATCAGCAAAATGTTGGTCAGCAATTTGTCGGGAAGCAAAACGGAGGTCAGATTAGAGAACTGACGTGCTACCGTCATGGCACTAGGGTCTGCGTGGAAGCTCGAGCGCTTAACTCCACACTTTCCGTTTGTCCACTACTGTTGTTATGGAATATTTTGGGCAGCCAAAGGCGGAGCGGTGGACGAGCCACTAGCTCAATGAAACGACCTCGATATTGACGCTCGGTCAGCAAATAAACGTAGAAATTTAGCGAATAGCCCATGAGTGTTACTACAAGGATGATTGGTCTCGCCAGATTCCGCACGCTCTGATCGGTGATATAAGAGATTGCATGGTCCTGCGGTGCCGCTGTTGCACACAAGTCGAAGAACAATGGAGTCCGCGTGATGAGATAGAGTAGGGCACTGCTGAGCAGAATGACGTTGATCCCATGCTGGGATAAGGATTTGCTGGCAGAGGTCGACGCTGAGGCAGCTTTCTGCAAGCGGCGCATCTGGCCAAATTTGGACCGTCGGTGGTATGCCAAAAAGACAATCAGGCTTACAGTGGGAATAAGAATCAGCAAAAAGGTCAGGATGCGCACCGCAATCTGCAAAAACAGGCACATTAAAGTATACTGTAGCGATAGAAATTAAGATTTTAAAGTTTCTTGGTTGTTGTGTTATGGCGATCAGAATCCTTGTTTCCCATTTTTTCTACATCTTACCGACCGCTTCTCACGGTCAGAAACATCTTAAAATTAAAAAAAGTCGGGCAGAGTCTGGCTGGAAATCTTTGGTTGGGCCGTCATTATTTGTTTCGAAGTGGCTATTTTGCCGCAGTGTTTGCGGCTAAATAGCCAGTTGGCTATTTTGCCGCACTAAGGTGGTCGAAATAGCTTGTTGGCTATTTTACCGCACACTGCGTTAAAATAGCTGTTCAGCTGTTTTGCCGCACTATGGTCGGCAAAATAGTCAGTTGGCTATTTTGCATCACTATTATCGCAGCCAGTTTCGCCGCGCACTTTCAATGAGCTCTGTACGGTAAAGTGCCGAACGTTCTGTAAAAAAGCGTCACTTACTTTAAACATAACCTTACAGAGCGTTACGTAGCAACGAGACACTCCACCTCAAAATCGAGGTTATGAAGTGACTTCGACTTCGCCTTCCGCCTTCTCCTCCGCCTATGCCTATTGAGCGGTACGCATTCGCCTACGCCTTCCAAAAGATGCGCTTTTCATTGGTCTTCTTATGTAATCCTTAAGTTTCTTGAGGGTATATTGTTGGTTTTTCTTATTTATGTTTTCCTAACCGTTAGTCTAGTTAAAACTTATTTTCGAAGCAACCATGTGTCGACGGTTTTAGTCCGGCTTTCAGTACTGTTATGGGCAGCACAACATAGGGCTAACGATTTTAAGCAGCTTTATTGAGAAATCAATAAACTGGAGCAAACAAGCAGCACAAAACATCCAACCTGGAGCGCTTGGCACCGAGCCTGATGGTTGTAGCGCTGCATTTTATGGTTTCACCCGAGCAACATCATGACATCGAAGTATTGCTCCGGCGTTTCTTGCCCCAAGCGTTAGATGTAGTTTCTTCTCCGGTGTAGCGTTAGCTTGCTTGCATATCGCAAATCGGTCGCTAAATCTGTCCAGTCATTCATTGACTGGACAGATTTAGCGACCGATCATTTACAGCCGGGAACGGCCCAGCGGGGAACGGCCCAGCGGGGAACGGCCCAGCCGGGAACGGCCCAGCGCGGGAACGGCCCAGCGCGGGAACGGCCCAGCGCGGGAACGGCCCAGCGCGGGAACGGCCCAGCGCGGGAACGGCCCAGCGCGGGAACGGCCCAGCGCGGAACGGCCCAGCGCGGAACGGCCCAGCGCGGAACGGCCCAGCGCGGAACGGCCCAGCGGGGAACGGCCCAGCGCGGGAACGGCCCAGCGCGGGAACGGCCCAGCGCGGGAACGGCCCAGCGCGGGAACGGCCCAGCGCGGGAACGGCCCAGCGCGGGAACGAACGGCCCAGCGCGGAACGGCCCAGCGCGGGAACGGCCCAGCGCGGGAACGGCCCAGCGCGGGAACGGCCCAGCGCGGGAACGGCCCAGCGCGGGAACGGCCCAGCGCGGGAACGGCCCAGCGCGGGAACGGCCCAGCGCGGGAACGGCCCAGCGCGGAACGGCCCAGCGCGGGAACGGCCCAGCGCGGGAACGGCCCAGCGCGGGAACGGCCCAGCGCGGGAACGGCCCAGCGCGGGAACGGCCCAGCGCGGGAACGGCCCAGCGCGGGAACGGCCCAGCGCGGGAACGGCCCAGCGCGGGAACGGCCCAGCGCGGGAACGGCCCAGCCGGGAACGGCCCAGCCGGGAACGGCCCAGCCGGGAACGGCCCAGCCGGGAACGGCCCAGCCGGGAACGGCCTGGTCACGAACCCACAGGATGGGTTCGTGCGGCGACGGCGTTCGATCTTGAAGTCTTCTATCTGTTCCAGTCTGTTTCGGCTGTCCGTCCGGTGGGTTCGTCCGTCTCGCCGTATCGGTAGTCCGGGGTGCCGTGTCCTTCAATCCCACCGAACCAAGAGGCCGCGGAGTAGCACTCCGCGGCGCCGGGATGTCGTCAGATTCGTCTCCAAGCCGGCAACTCTTTCTCAAATTGTTCCGTCCGGTGTATCGTTGTTCCCAGTTCCTGTTCTAGGTTGACGTATTTCAAAAATACATCCGTCTGCTGCTTCAGAGCTTTGACGGTTCATGCCATGATCTCGGGTGACTCGACCAGAGATTTTTTGAGCTTTTCACTGTTCGCGTCCCTTCTTTTTTTTGCCGTCCAAAGCTGTGGCTGTAGCATCTCTATCGCTTCGGTTCTTTTGCTGCACTCCTGCCTAAGGTTGACGCTCTCGGTCGCGAAAGTGTCCACCTGTTTCTGGAGTCGGTCGGTGGCTTCTGCCATGTCCGCATTCTCCGTTTCAGAGTGGTAATAGTCGCATCCTTTTTCGCCAAGGTTGTCTTTTTCCGGTCGATCTTGTTCCGGGCGGCCGCTAATTGGACTACCAGATGGGCCGACTGTCCGTTTATCGTGCCATCGGTGATGGTCCGTCGGCCCGCTAAGTTTCTGGAACTGCTGTCCTTCCGGCGTCTGAAATACCGGTTCGTTCGGGTCGAGTCGAGTTCTGTCCGCCTTCGGTGTCGATTCCGGGCTGCCGTCTACCAGAACAGTGTCGACCGGCGACGGTATGGTCGACTCGACCGTGAAGCGGTCGACTGAGCTCTCGGTCGAACTCTGCCGAGTGACCGTTGGTGTAAGCTGGTCCGTTCCATCCGGGCCGGGTGATCTGGCTGCCGTGCCGGGTTACGATCCACCCACTGCGGTTTCCGCTACCCGTTCTCCGGATTGTGCGTTCACCGGCTTGGTTTGGTCCGCAGTGTCAACCGGGACGCCGGGGTACCAAGCGGGTGTGTGTGATGCTCGCCCTTCTTCAGCTGGCTGTCCATGCGTGTCTGGAGGGTGTTTCGTCCGTTTCGTTAAGTGCGGTCCGATTAAAGTGTCAGCTGGCTACAGACGTGTGCAACCGTCCAGAACGACCGGCGGTCGTCTGAGACGACTCGTCGTTTTGGACGGTTACATCAGGCGAAGGCGACAATGGCTCTTGTCTCGTCTGTGCTAACTTAACTTGCGGTATAACCAAAAATGCTTTTAAATATGGCTGCTTGCATGGGTGAACTTTTTGGGTCCGCACGGGCGTTGGCTGCGGGGCACGGGTGATTTCTTTTGTCTCAGAATTATTATATTTTAAAATTGGAAGAAGATTATAAACTGGATGAAGGGCATAAAATCGAAGTGAGAGACGCCAAAAGCAGCGGGAAGTGGAATGTGATAGCCATGGTTACCACGTTCGTTTTCGGGATGGATCATGGACGGCCATTTTTGAGCTGGATCCGTTGCGAACTCACCTGGCAGCCGCTTATGAAGCATGTAACTGACACCGTTACCGCCAGCATCAAGCCGCGTCGAAAAAACTCTGAGTCGCAAAACAAAAGTATCTGTAACTATTCCTAGATTATGGCACAAGAAAACATATGTCAGAAAACCGGGAATGCTGTGACTGAATAAAACGTGAGAAACCGCAAGATGCTATTACGTTAAAAAAATCGGGAAACATAAAACCGAATCAAATGGATTCAAATCAGCCAATACGTTACCGTAAAGAAAACACAAAATTAAAATGCCGTACACGCAGCCAACACCCGTGCCTGAACTCCGTGCACACAGCCAACGCCCGCGTAGTCACCCGTGCACGCAGCCAACATCCGTGTTTCCCCGTGCACGCAGCATCCTATTCCCGTCCATAGTGCGGCAAAATAGCTAACGAGCTGTTTTAACACAGTATGCGGTAAAATAGCCAACAAGCTATTTCGCCCAACATAGTGCGGCAAAATAGCCAACTGGCTATTCCGGCGCAGTGTGCGGCAAAATAGCCTGAGGGCTATTCTGACCCCTATTGTTATACTGCGGCAAAATAGCTATAGCCTTATTGTTTCGCTCTCGGATGTCATTAAGCAAGCCGCTAACACAGGAAACGCCAACAAAAATTAGACGGACATTCGAGACAGGCTGTAAAAATTGGAAGCATTGCTCGAACTTACATCCGGTAAATTTTCATTGAATTTTTCGTTTATCTAGCAACATTTCGCTTCTTTTTCGTCACCTAGCAATTGGCATGCCGCGGCCCATCGCGGGTGAATACCCAGACAGTGGGCCGATGCGGCTCCTCCCGAAAGGGCCGCACCGACTCATTGTTATTGGTGATATAAATATTAAGTGTAACACATAACAAATACACTTCTGCTATGTTTTCCGTTTCCGGCAACGTGCCCCTTATTGGTTACATCAACATTTCAATACTTTGTGGTTTCTTTTTAGTGACGGACATCCCTGGATACTGGTCAAATTTTGTCCTTATTTAAAAACGTAAAGTTAAAACATTTTACAGTCAAAAGTTAAGACTGGGCAAGACAACACATTTTAATCCCGATTTGTAAGCGACTCAGATTTTTGACAAAATATACAGTTCAGCTTGAGTTCTCATTCAGTTCTGCTTGAGTGTTACTCAGGACGAGTCAATATGGTAGTTTTCCACTTCCTTTTTATTTCATACAACTTTGGGCTTATTGATCCAGCTCAAATACATACCAAGCCTTTCGTATTAATGGAGTCCCAGACCGTATACCATTCAGGGTAATGGGCAGGGAAACTCATGATGGGGTTATTCAGGGATACACAGCAGATTGGTGCCAGATCAAACGAGTACAATGCGAGCGATAAAACGGTCAGAACGACGATTGTAAAGCGCGCCACTGAAACCAGCTGCAGAAATCGAAATCGGAAAGGGCTCATAATCACAAGCAGCCTTTCCCACGAGAAAATAACCAGGATCCTGAAAGGGTATTCACAGATTATAAGTACAGTATCAGATATGAATTTCAAACGAATGTACCAATCGGACAAATTCATCGAGACATCCAAAACCCACGACACAAAGATGACCCCTCCTGCCGTTACATTCTGCATGTCCTCGCCCACTCCACGATCCCCAAAAAATGAAGTTAAACCGAGCCATCTAGAAAAACACAATTGCGTACAAGGTGACAATTTAACGGACGCACATGTTGATTGCGGTTGCCAAAATCCCGAAAACACAAGAGAACAGGTTATATGGGGTTCGAATCGTACTGTACTGTAGTCAAGCTAGTCAGATCAGGGCCATCATCAGGCAATCACAACACGGCAAAATCATAAAACAGTATTGCGTGGACTTCATAAAGATGTTGCATCCACGGATCCACAGCCATATAGCGCTATGCATTTGTTTTTGGATTTAGTATACAGTAACACCATTTGGAAGTATAATGTACATCGGTTCCTACCTACAAGCCCTTCCCGAAACCTTTCGATCGCTGCAAGCGGGATATTTGAGAAACGTGGGCTTGAACTATTCAAGGTGTTTCGGCACGTCACGTTACTTGTCGTTAGCGCCACTGCGATGTGATATAGGTAATCGTAGACTACTCGTAATTACATTCAAGTCAGCCACTATGATAAGTGAATGGACAACATATCTGTACTTTTTAGTGGGCCAGCTCAAGTCATTTCTCTCCCGAGTCGTCTTTCTTTCGCTTTTTTGTTTTGGTGGATTCAGGGAAGTTGCGGCGGCTACAGTTGCTGCGGCTGGAGCACTTCTTCATCCTAAACATTTGTTGTACGTGTTCAGTACACCAAAATGACTGCGTTCACCGCCATCCGGGTGCTACAGCTGTGCTGCAATAAAGAAATACTGAAGCCGCACATGTGTGTCGGTACTGCAGCAGTGTCGGTGTCGGTACTACAGATATTTCGCTGTACAGAGTAGTGCAGTGGCTCGTGTGGTGTGGCTTAATTGCTTTTGTCATAAGTTTTTAATAACGCAAATAACTTTAAAACGGGTAAGCCGATTTTTAAATTTTAAAATACTCCGAAAAGAAGAAACTTCCCTGAATCTACCAAAACAAAAAAAAAAACGAAAGAAAGACGACTCGGGAGAGAAATAACTTAAGCTGACCCACCTAAGTATATCAGTCTTTTCTCAGAACCTAACAGAGCCAGGTAAGCCTGAGAACGTTTCAATAACAAAGTCTGTAAGTCGAACAAAAAGCTGAGATACCACTATAGAAAATCGAAAATCGAGAATTTTGCAACGTTTTGCCCTTACGTTTTGTTGCAACTATGTTGTTAACCGACAGCCTACTTATCGGTTTGCTTTCTAGGTCTATTGGCTTTTTAGTGTATTTTTCTGGGTTTCCTGGCTCACCTTGATTTCTTAGCTTGCCTTAGGTTCTTATGTTTTTCTTTTGCTCTTGTGCTTCTTATATTGGTTGATATCTTATGTGTTCTTATATTTTCTTATGCTTTCTCACATTTTCTTATAACTTCCTTTGTTATTCTTATGTTGTCATATGTATTTCTTATGTTTATATTATTTTTTCATATTTTTCCTTGCGTTTTTTTATGGTCTCTTATGTTTTCTTATGTTTATTTATGTTTCATTCAGTCAGCAGATTGTCGGGTTTCAGCAAGCTGTCGTTCAGCAACTTGTCGATCATCCAGTTGTTAAAAAATTGTCAAGTTGACATTTTTTCGGTCACCAAAAAGTCGTCAGCAAGTTGTCGGTCAGCAAGACAGCGGTCAGCAAATTGTCGCCCAACGCCAAAACTGAACCATGTTACTATGGTGTTACGAGTGTTGGCAAACGACGGTAATACGATCAAAATACGAACATGGTTTGCTTCATTGTAGCGACACTCGGGGACTCTTCGTTAATACCATCGTAACATGGTTGAAATCAACCGTAGTGAAACCGCCGTAATTAGTAACGGTAGCGCAGCGCACTGTGCTACGCAACTACCGTAGTAATACGGTGGAGAAGCAGACATTCTACGGTGGGAATACAGTCGTACGTACTCTAGTACAATATCTATTTCATACTTCGGCGGGAAAAATTGTCGTAACACGGTAGTATCTTTATTCGAATTGGAACTTTAAAATTATCAACCTCTTCCAGAAAATTACTAGTGAATCAACAATGATAATTATTGATGCAAATCAAACAAAATTCCATGCACTAGTTCTCGGCTTAGCTATGTAAAACAGTAACTCACAAAAACACGAACATGACCTTAAAGCTCTGAGTTACAACGAAAACAGGAATAATGTTCCATAGGCTGCTTAAACTGGTTCAGTGTTCCGGAGCAGAGGAATATTTTTCCGAAAAAATGGATTAAAAGGTTCACACGCTTCATCCGAGATTTCAGCTTGGCGCATTTCTGTAAAATAATTAAAAAAACAAACATTCACACATGAAAATGACACTGGGTATCGCAAGGACGGTGAAATAATTTACCGGATACGAGTATCCGATAACTGTAATGATCGAATTAAATGATAGCGTAAAGGCTAGCGTAGTTCCAGCGGTAATGTCAGTGCTTTATCTCACATTTATGTATTAACAAAAGCAAGTTATTGCGCGTGTTGCTTTAAGAAAAGGCGATGCGCAGCGCATATTTTTTGGGCTCTGCCTGAAAAACTCCTCCTGCAACTGGTAATACCCTTTCCAAATTGGCAGCAATTCACACACTGCACATACCCTAACTAAATATAGGACTCCTCATCGTCGATGTATTAAGCAACCTTTAAACCGCCAGCAAGATGGAAGAGTGATTGCAGCAACAGAGAAATTTAAGGTTAGCATAGATTAAATCCAAAAAAAAATCGCTTAAAAGTTAAAACTACATCAAAAACATGAGCAGATGAGCTACAGCCAAATGCGATGCAGGACGTGGATACGAATACACGGTGGCAATGTATGGTGGCGCCCCTAGTTCGTAGTGGCTGGGTTGCATTCAGGATATTGGCTACATGTACAGCCTACAACCGTGGTTTTGGACACGGCAACTCTGGCCGTAGAATGCCGGTAAAGTGCTAACAACAACAATTTTTAGTCTAGACGAAAAATATTGCATCCGCATAGCGATATATACGCCCTTTAGTTTAAAGAAAAGGTTGGAATACTTTCTTTGGTGTTGAAAATAGTAAGCAAGACATTTACCGCCGGCACCGTTATTTGTTCGTAAACATGAAAAATTACGGTAAGTAGTAAAATGAGTCTTACTTGGCTTGAACTCCCCTGTTTCAGGCCACGGACTGTGGAAGATACCAAAACGTTTCCAGTTTCCCTAAAAAGTGCAAATCACTTCAAAAACCTTGCACCCGGTGGCTGCAGTCCATGTAGTTCTTAGAAAACTTTGAAATTTTAATTAAATTCTACAGTAGAGCGATAACTTTCATTCTTACAGTACAGTAGAAACGTATATTATATTCTCCTGTAACCTAAAATATTTAATAATTATTTAACAATATGATGTATGAGCATCAGCATGTTCGAATATGTAATTTTAGTACTTAAAATTATACGAGTAAATTATACGAGTTCTCAGAGCTTCTTACCTTCTCCGCATTCCGAAGGAATATTGTTGGCCATCACTTCGGCTGGGACACATTGTATGGGTCTTTTCTGGCATTACGAGTTATTTCAAGCTTTTTTTTGGGAAATAAGTGAAATAGAAAAGTTATAGTTGTATTTATCAGAATTTAAGGTAATATGTTTCGAAAAAAAGTGGATTTAGGTATGTACTATGTACCTTCTCATCGGTAACGTGACCGAGAGAAGAAAGATATGCCCGTCTACCTCCACTAGGTGATAACTACGTCTTTACCGCCAACAAAATTACCAAAGTAACTGCCGGTCAGCCAAAGCCAAACTGTACGCCCTATCCGCCGGCGACGGTAGTTTTACCCTCGATTAATACTACGGTTGCTGAGCCAGCTGTGGTACCGGCGTCGTAATTCACTACGGTAGTTAATTCCGATGAATGTTCTATCGATCGTTCTACCGTCGAAAATTTCCTACGGGTCGGTTTACGGTTGTATTTCGACCACATTCGCAGGGAAAAGTGTAAAAGTACTATTGTAATACCGTGGAATGCCCTCTTACGATGGTCATCACCATCGTTTTTCCAATTTGGTTTTGGCGTTGGGCGGTGTGCCGTTCCCACATAGTGATGAAGAAAATTATATGCCAGCTAACTTACAATGCCAGAATGTCAGCAACGGCCGTCCCGATCATGTAGTGACACGCTGATGTCTTCCACGTAGGTACGCTGCGAATCAACACCACCAGATTCAGTCCGTTGCCCACGGTGCACAGGATCAACAGGCAAAAGTAAACAGCTCGACAAGCCACATAGACATTGAGAATTTCGTCCGCAGTATAGATCGGCTGCGGTATTTCGTAAAGGAGCGCAGGTAATTTAGTTCATCTGCATCCAGTTTGTCGATCCAGCTGGCCTTAGTGTCGTTCGGAGAGGCCGGTGCGAAAATTTTTTTGAGTATATCTGACAGGGACGAAGAATTGGTGGTTTTAAGGCTGTCCATTGCAAAACTGATGGCGCACTACTGTCAAATACACGTCAAAAATTATTATTTACTGTAAATGGATGTGATTATTTTCAGCTCTACTAACAACACGGGGTTACACGTGCTGGAGTCGGTAACGCCTCATTTTACTGAATGAAACTGGCTACAGCTAACCAAGCGTGTCGTAGAGCAACCATACACTTTTGCCGGTTAAGACGAGTGGTACCCAACATATCGTCCCCTTGCGCTAATTTTTTGTCTGCACTCCGTGGTCGATGTACGGCTAATTTAACTAATGCCGTATGCCACTTAGATACTGGGCTGTCATCTGACGATTTTTTATGACGTTTTGTACGGTCATTACCAGAATAATGAGGAAATTAATTTTTAGCTTCGACTCCTAAAAATAATCGCTATTCAACCGGTAAGGAAGATATATCGCCGTATGTTAGATTTTGATGTGGACAATTTAACCATATGCTGGGTACCTCTCGTCTTAAGTGGAAGTAATAATATTAACATTAACTGTTAGTTGTCCCCATAAACTCACCAATTTAAAATTTTAAATCAGGTAGGCAGGATGCTGTCGACCTCACCAAAGTGCCTCCTCGTCTGCACTTGAATATGTGCAGCTGATTTATAATTATTTTAGAGGATAAAAATGTTTAATTCGATCATACAGTATAAATTCTGCCAAAAATCTCTTAATATTGCACGGTGAATGGGGAATACGGTCTCGTATGACTGCTGCAAATTTACCTTCGAGCTCATTAAAGCTGCTTCAGCCCTTTGGCTGAATAGCTTAATGTTCTTTGCTTAATAACAGCATATTCTCGTCTCAGCTGCATGTAAATATGTGACGTTACCTGCATAGCTGACACTTATATGAGTTATATCCACTCGTTAAAATAATATTAACCAGGGGTACAACCCGCGCATTTTACCAGTTATTATCGCTTGTTAAACGAAGAGCAGACAGCGAAATTAGTAGCATATTACGCTCCTCGGAAAATTCTGCATCGCCGAAGGCTTGCTTGCTTGGTTTATGGATTACAAGAGTCTATTAATTTCCACAGTGTGCAGCACAACAGCCGGCTGTTTCTGTGTGCGTGTACCTTATACAGCAAAAATTTGAAAAGAACGAATCTGGTTTTTTTCCACGACAACGCGTTCACCCATTTTATTAATATACCGTTTCAGTCCGCAAAGAAATAAGTTCGAAATTAAAATTTTGGTGTCGACCAGCGCAGGCTTTGTTATTACCTATATAGTTGGCTTTTGCTGGAATTAAGTTGTATTCGCAATATGTATATCCGTGACCGGTTTGTGCGCACACGGCATAAAGCGTTTTCACGAGAGTTAGTACAAAAACACAAAAAAAGTACAAAAAAAAGTCCGAGTATCTTTTGTCGTCTCAGTCTCATTTGCATCTTCATTTAAAATCTTATGAGCTATCAGAAACGCTGGATTTCGTGTCATTCAAACGAAGGCTGATTGTATTTCCCTATCAGCTATCTGGTACTCTTTCGCGCACCTCCAAACTTGCAAACCATAATTTATTTTAAACACGTTGGTACGGAGCTGATCAAGCAGAATCCATCACGCATGCAATCTTTTTGGTCAGTTAATTAAGCAGAAACCAAGCAAAATTAACAACAGGGGCTCCAACTTAAACACGCCGAACATAGTGTCCAAAGCACGCCCAGAAATTACAAATTTATTGCGCGGACTGACTTAGAGGAGAGTCGAATAAGCAAAACAAATCACAAGCCTTAACTTAACCCAGGAGAAGCTATACTAAGGCGAGCAGTGGGCTTCGTGCAACTGCTGATGACCGTCGCGCAGCACCTCCACCGCTATCCGTCCGCATTTTTCCGTCATCTCCGCCTTAGCCGCACCATCCATTGCGGCGGTAAACCGGTATAGATATCTACAACGAAATAGTGAGAAAATTGCACCAACCTTACAAGGCATATATGTTCACCTACTGGCAGACATTGTGCCGGGCGCTGGTGGCGTTGTGCCAGGCAGCTGCTGACAAATCTCTATCCAAGCCTAAAAGCTCCACCAACAAATCGGAACGTTGTCGCGAACAGTGCTCGAGGGCGCGCACGAAGCGCAAGGTACTAATGGGCAGTTGGCAGGTCTTCGCTACGACATTGGCCATCTCCGCAGTGTACCATAATCCGTCTTGTGTGAAGCGTTGGAGCAGTTCGGGATCGTGCGCGCACCGGATGGGCAGATTGAAAAGGCAGTGGGCGGAGGCATTGGCGGCACTACAACACCATAACGCATTCAGTGTATGTTGTATACGGTTCCAAAATCCAGTTATCCAATGCGTACGAATTGAAAGCACTACAGCGGGTCTTTTTCTTGCTTTTTTCTTAAGCGGTAAAAGGTAGCATCTCTTGCTTTATCAACCATACAATGTAACGTAGAACTAATGATTATTACCTAGAAACACATTTTTTTGCGGTTGGAAAAGCTTGGAAGTACTTTTCTACCGAACATCTTGATTTATAAAATCAACATTGTTTTCGTTAGGCCGCCAGATCAGCAGATGAAAGTGCTCAAAAGTTTAACGATGAAGCTGGCGCAAGCTCATGCCGCTCTATAAAAATGGTGAAATTGTTTTCAGTCAAAATACGCAAAAGCGTTTCCTTGCTGTGTAGGCCATCTGACTATTACGTGCGTACATTTTCCATGAGCATACATCTTTTGGTTACGCTTTACACGCTAAATATAGAAGAAAATTATCAAAAGAGCAAGGGTTACCGGCAGTAGTCGTGAGCCAATTGGTGAGAAGCATTGACAATCTCATCCGTTATTGGCCACCCCAAGGCTTCCACCGTGCTGTAGTGCGCCGATATCAATTCGCGGCATTTGTCTGTCAGATCGGCACTGCATGGTTCGCTCCGTGCTTTACCGGTAAACAGCGCAAATGTTGCCGTAAGGAGGAGATACAAAATAAAGGCCATTTGTGCAGTACTGCTGAATACAGTATAGCAAGGTGAAACCAACAAACAGAAATTATTCTCCAGTTCGCAATACATTGCACAGTGTAACTGACTGCCGAGGTCTGTGTGCGCACCACCATTGATACTGATGTGACGAGATATTTCTGTAATATTTAAAATACAGAGTACACTAGCCGAAGTGGAACTGTACCATTGCACTGATTGGAGTGTGGGTAAAAGTGCACATGTGTTGAAGTTAAACATTGCACTTTGGAACGGAACGGTACATGCTGCAGTACACACTTTATCCTTAGTAACAGTTGCAGACTTTGCGTTTATTGACTATCGAGTCAGATCAGCGGTGTGCCTTTCGGGAAGATAAAACAGTGCGCCGTCGTGTGTCCTAATGAGCGATGGCTTTGTGGTAGCGGATGGGATCAAAGGACAGCCGTCAGTCACCCGATTCGCCTCGGTCATCGATCCCTTCCACATCGTTGGAAAAAGCAGATCGCAGCGGGTCGCAACAAGGAACAATAGAAGCACGCGCTGACGATCCCACTTCGAAGTAAGACCGTGAAGCGAAGGCGAAATCTTCGAATATCAAATCCGAAACACGTCGCGACGCAACACGCTTTACTAGCAAAGCCCAACGCACAGTGCGCGGGATCTGGCCGCTCTCTTCCGCCGGCCCCCGGTCGGCCGGCTTCCCGTTGACCCATGATCACGGCACACCGCCGATCACCAAAGAGTATCAACTTCCCAGCAGCCGTGTCTCAGCGTCCACAATGCATTCGAAAGCAGTAACATTAACAGACCTTTTCATTTACAGTATTATGAGGTTTAGATTGTTCAGAAAGGTTTTTGCTGTCGCACTGTAATGCTGGGTTTTTCTAGTGATGAGAGTACGCGGTGATACTGAATACTGATGATGTTTACTGGCAACATACTTTCTGAGATGAACCAACAGAGAGCAGCAAGATCGTAAACTGATGATACAAATACCATAAACTGCTTCAAATCTTGTGCGGTGGATTTTAATTGTATGAAAATCCCTGGCAGACGACTGGTCTGCCGGCACAAGGAAACACGCAACACGAACGCATGCACGCGGGCAGGTAACATTCCGTATGAAAACGTCATTCCTCAACAGCAACAAGAACCTCAGTTCCACGGCAAGCAAGCCTAATTCACCCTTTGAACGAAAATCCTGGATAGCTGATGATCATACGGTGAATCTTACGGTGAGCGCGAGGAAACACAATTTCTGCGCTCAGCTTCAGAGCACTGGAAATGGTGACCCGGGTTGGCTCCATCTACAAGAGGCCAGAGCATCCGGTTAACGGGTTAACGGCTCTTCAACAGGCCATTATCCACGGGTTACTGTCGGAGGTGGTGCCGTTGGTTATGTCTGGCTAATGATAATCAAATTCTGCGGACAGGATTTTCCACTTCATTTTACCGCCTCTTGAACACCAGCTGGCGCAAATCAGAGAGAGATAAGGCGAAAATAATCGGATCCACTATGTTTTGCAATTGACAGACTGTTCCCAACCAGAAAGACACAGATGGATAATTGTATACATAAAAGGGATAACCAGCAAATTATTGCATGTGAAAGTTAAAAAAAAGGTAAAGGTGAACATGGTAAACAAGATAAAGTTGCTTTTTTCTGACCTTTCGCTTGTCGAGCTTCTGTCATAATATGGACCTGTCACCGATCCAGAAAGTTTATGAAAACGTGCCTATGGTGGTGATTATCGCCGCGCTTTTCGTGATGCTCACTTTATTTCCCATCGTTGTGGTTTTACGGCGAAGACGTTTAAAGAAACTATCGATTATGGGCGCCAACAGACTTCAGTCCACAGGTACAACCAATAAAAACAGTAATTTTTCTGAGACAGGCTATTAATTATAAGAAGCAGATAAAAACGTTACGCATGTTGCAGTAAATGTACGACAAATAATATTCTTTTGCCGGAGTTTTGTTTTGCTAGTCGTTTGTTAACCGGGACTGATGGAGGTCACGAGAAACTTCAGTCTGGTGTCCGCCAACGCTATAACAGAACACCCACAATTTGCTGCAAACCCTACTGTGCAGTGTCTGAAACGCTTACAGGCAGTTTACTGCATGGCATGGAAAGTACCATGCGCGGAGCGATGCACACCCGCATTTAAAAGTGACCTAGGTGGATTCAATTCCAGATCTAGCATTGTGTCATTCTTATGCTTATTCACCAGTAGCATACGTGTCCACTTTCTAGCGCGTACAATGTTGCAGGACCCAATGCACAGCCATCAGGCTTGTCCTACGCTGTAGCAGGCATCCGTTCTCGGTTTCCGGCTGGCGGTAAACAAGCGCGTCCACTATAACCACTGGGAAACCTACGGCGTGCGCAGCAACCCAGGCAGTGGCACTGCTGATTAAAGCGACGCGTGTGTTATGGATGTGTCGGTATTGCACTGGGAAGATTATGGAAAAGAAGCGATTAATGGCAATAGTCGTGTGAAGGAACGCAAAGACAACGGGCAGCGTCCAAGATGCGTACATGTACACGGTGCACCAAAAAGAACCCCAACACCAAATACTGAACAACTGAAAAACAGCGTCTAATGGTCTGAATATTACACTGAAATACAAGTTAGCGAATAACAACGAGAAAACGTAGACATGAAAGTTTCTACAAACGCGAATGTTAATAATATACACTGCAAGGACGAAAGCATTACTGGAAAATATTAAAGAACTGATGTCACTGATAGTACAGGCTGTACAGCAGCCATAGTCCATCGGGCGGGGTTATTCAACAAGCTACAGGCGTCTGTCGTTGCATTGAAGACTGAACTATTATTTGCCATTATGCTCGCCGTTTGAAACGAGAAATGTTCCAAGCAGGCGAAAGGATAGGAAAAATGCCAAATAATTAATTTATTCGATATATAAATCAATAAGAACGGGGTACGATCGACTGGATTGGCGACCGCATCGCTCAGTTAAAAGTGCTTCATGACATTGTGCCTCCCGCTCATGAAATGAATGTGGCACTGCGCGATCCTCTCTTGCTAAGCACAATTCCGTTAGGAAAATTATCGTTAACCTGAAGAGTCGCTGATGAATCCAGACGACACTCCGATGGAACAAGATTTTTACTTTGCTTTATGAACTCATTTAAATATTAACAAGCTCTATTTCAGAGCCCTGTGTTTTCCTCGGAAGGGTAACTAATTAAAACGGTCTTTTTAATATTGTTTTAAAATTTGATGCGATGCCGGCTTTATTATGAGACTATTTCGGTCGGACAACTAATTACAGTCGGATAACCAATTACATAACCGGATAGCCAATTACATAAGATTTGATGCGATGCCGGCTTTATTATGAACTACATATTTCGGTCGGATAACCAATTACAGTCGGATAACCAGTCCAGTCGTTCCTAACCGTTGCACCGGATATCCGACTGTCCAATTACAATTACAGTCGGATAACCAATTACAAAACCGGATAACCAATAAGATTTGATGCGATGCCGGCTTTATTATGGACTATTTCGGTCGGATAACCAGTTACAGTCGGATTACCAGTCCAGTCGTTCCTAACCATTGCACCGGATATCCGACTGTCCAAACCGGAAGAACTGGAACTGCTGGGCTCTCCGCTGTTGAACGAAGCTGCTGCGGGCGCGTCTTTAAGAAGGTCGGTCATGTGCTTGCCGACCAGCTCGGTATATTGCCTTCACACCAGGCGTTGTTTTTACTTAAGAACTGTTTGTCGCTGCCGAAATTGTTGTATCTTCTTAGAATGTCACCGTGTTGGCAGTTTTCGATTTGTTGTTTCAACAAACTGTCGGGTCAACATTTTGTCGGTCAGCAAATAGTCGTCAGCAAGTTGTCGGTCAGCAAGATGACCGTCAGCGAGTTGTCGGTGTGCCCTTTTCAAGAGGCTTGCTTCCATACTGAGCTGGACATTGCTACGTTGGTTATCTGTTCTGCTTTCACCCGGATGACGTCATCGAACTTCTTCAGCTTATCCGGAGCCTCTTTACCCACGAAATTTAGTGGCTTAGGACTGATCAACGCAGCGGATGTCGCGTTAGCCGTCCAACCGGGCCACCATTTCGGCCTCATCCAGGTGACAACGAGGTAAAACGAGCTCAGCAGAACCAGGAGTACATTGCATACCAGAAGATCGATCATGTACATGTTGAAGCCTGTGTGCAATTCGCGTGTCCTCAATAAAACGCACAAAACTAGGGCATTCACGAAAAAGGTCGTTACACTGGTGAACAGTTTGAACCCAGCGAGAAAGTTCCAGTTAACGTTCGTGAAATTGTTGTCAAAACGCAAAACTGTGTCGATTATTGTGTTGTTTAAGGGTTCCACTGCAGCAAAGCTTGCAACAATGGTAAATAAATGAGATAGCAGAGCTTGAAAGTTTGATAGCTTTTTAAAACATAAGGATGTTACTTCTGCTTCTAGCCGAGCATTGGGTTTATTTGAGCTCAACGATCCCGCTGCAATCTTGAATAATTAGTCACTTGCCTGTCTTGCCCGGCTGTAAACTTAATCCATATCCAAGCTATTTTCTATCGTGTCAGTGAACCGTCCTAATGCTGACAGTGTTGTTTCTGTGACCTTTTAAGTCCGGACCCATGGCTGCACTTTGGAGCGAAGTGTAATTGTTTCCAAAAATGGTTTGATTGAAAGTCTTTACAGTGATATTTGGAAGGAATAATAAGTTTTAAAGCTGTGATATTTACAGCTCCAATAATTTTCGTTGTGTTAGAATTCTTTCTTACATTTTTGCAAATCATCGCGGTTATTACGCGCTTGAGGTAAAATCGATTATACTGTATGTTGTTTTGGCGCACATCTTGACGAGAACAATTATGCAAATTATATTACCACAGAAAGGACTTTTGTTTGTGACTGTAGCTGCCGCGTCTAACGTCAAGGGCAGTCAGGCAGAGCCACATTCGACAATCAATGACGACTATGGCTTTGTTCCTGTCAGTAAGTTTATTTATTACGATCATTATTGAACTACCTATGTGCGAAAACAAGCTGCCGGCCGAGCCGAATTGAAGCTGCCCGGTGAAAATCTTTCGATTGGTCGGTTTATTCAATTTC